ATTTGTTGTTTTTCTTTACAATAAAGTTGTCTATAAATGGTAGATTGTGTTTAACACACAAAAGAGTGATGATTAGGTCAACACATTGAGGTATAGAAATTCTACACTGATAAAAAAAAAAAAAAAAAAACTGTGCTGTGATCAGATTGGTATCAGCCGATACTCAGAATTTCTGATATCGGATCGGGATTGGTTCTGAAAAAGTGGTATCGAGCCAGTCCTAAAATAAACATGAATCGACACAAGATAACCTACAATACAAGTTACTGAAATGTCTCAAGTAATCGCTCATTGAGTGTTTCAAACTGCGGAAAATTCAGCTAGAAAAAAGAACTACAAAGAGGAGCTTTTTGCTAAATATATGTGCTATATTCAGGCCCAGCGCTACGAGGGAGCATGGGTGCACCGTCTGAGTGCATAAAGATTTGCCCAGATCGATCAGCATCTGACTCGAAGATAAAATATGCATTCTTACAACCGTCTAAAACATATTATACAAAGGTCATAAAGTAAACGGTCATAATTCATCAACTCGAGTTCATAAGAAATCGCTTGCCATAAATGTGCACTATTCTTTGATAGAGAATCACTTTGAACGGAGAAAAACTGAATAAAAACACATATATAAAATGAATAAATAGCCCTATTTGAGAAATACATTTGACTTAAATAATTCACAGATTAACAAAAAAAAAAAAACTGTGACAAGTTCTATATGCGGAGTTTCTCCTTTTTTCTAATGCGCAACAAGTTCACGGAAAGGAAATCAAAACAGTATTTTGAAAAGCACCGTTTCGTTGTTATTGTGATGTCTCACTCTTATCTTTGTTTCCGCTGTCATAAGGAACAAATTCGAGTGATCGCTAGGGATGGGTATCGTTTACATTTTATAGATACTGATACTGCTTATCGATACCAGTACTTATTGATACTGTTATCAAATTTATTTGGTGCAAAAAGATATGAAGTGAAAAGTTGTTGATAATTTGAAAAAGTTATTTTATTACTGCTGAACTGCAACTGTATTAAAGTTCTTCAGTCCAGAGCAGTGAGTTATTTTTCTCTTTGTGTTTTATTTTATTAACATTAAAGAATAGTTCACCCAAAAATGAAAACTGTGTCATCATTGACTCACTCTCAAGTTGTTTTAAACCTGAATGAGTTTCTTTGTTGAACATAAAGAGTTATTTTGAAGAATGCGGGAAACTAAACAGTTGCTGGTCCCCAGTGACTTTCATTTTTTTTTTTTCTACTATTAAAGTCAGTGGGGACCAACTACTGTTTGGTTGCCCACATTCTTCAAAATATCTTCTTTTGTGTTCAGCACAAGAATACATCAAAATTAATACATATTTGGTACAACATGGCTGAGTAAATAATGACAGAATTTTAATTTTTGGGTGAACTATCCCTTTAATGACAAGCGGCAGCATGTTTAGTACTGCCGCTTTAAGAGCAGCATACATCTGTTTTTTTCTCATCCGTTTACTTTCACTTTAGACATAATTAACTATGTTTATATGTAAATCTTGTGTGTTTTTGACAGTATTAGCGAAATCAGATGATAACTAAGTAAAAAGGTGCTGTTTGACCGGCCTTTTAGTGTACGCACGCTTCGGGTGTACGGGCTCTTAATAAGCACATGTTAGAACAGCACGCAAATGAAACGTTTAACTGGCAAGGCTTTAAAGCACACAGAAATAATGTAGTTTTGTGATTGCAAATAAGTCTTGTGAGTGTAACTCTACCGAATCAACATTTGATGTGAATGTGTCTCACGAGTTTCAGTTGGAGCTGCAGCCGCGAGTCATAATACAGCACATTGCTTGAGGTAGATGTTGTATTTTGTTAGTAAATGTTTCATTATATTACTAGTGTTGCCTCCTTTCTTCACTATTACATTACTGCATATATTGCATCTGACACTGGTGTCGCCTAGTTTTGTAACGTGAGCCCACACTTTCAGATGTTTCACTCTTGCCGCGATGACCGATTGCACGCAAACACACACCGCACATGCTCATGGATATCACACGTACGTCGAGCAAATGTCGGACACATCATTCAGTGAAGGAAAATGACAAGCAACAGCTTCTAATTCGTCGTTAACATTGAAGTATACGGAGATAAAACAACACAAGTATCGATAACAGTATCGTTTGTTCTGAAGCTTATCGGTATTCCGGTATTGACCCAATTACATACCGGTCCAAAAAAATACCGGTTCTCGGTACCCATCCCTAGTGATCGCGCAGGGGCCTCTCGCACACACACACAACATATCAGTTATAGCAAACTTGACATCGCAGCCTGTTCATTATCAAATAAAATAAGCCAACCATACATATATACAGTTACACTGCTCAATTTGAATAGTCCGAAGAACAATCTATTGCGTAATATTTATTTATTTATTTTTGTCTCTCAAAAATGCAATTTTATATAAAGGTATTTTTAAACCATGCAGCAAAAATTTTAAATATATTTTTAAAAATTGTATGTGTGCGCGCACGGGCATGAATGAATCAAAATGCTGAAGCAGTCAAAGGATCGGAGACATAAATACATGACAGTATGACTGAAATGTTAAAAAAAAATAATAATAATACACATTTATTTTGTGGCACTTAAAAAAATAATTTAGTGCCTATATTTGTTTCTTATAGGAGCCAATGGCTCCTTAGTTTATTTTTTTTATTTAATTTTTTTGTCTGGAGCCCTGCTTATCGCTCATATGAAGCATCACCAGATTCAAAACACAATTCAAAGTTCATTAGAATCCCTGTGCAAAAATGTTCCATATTTTTTTCTAGCAGAATACAAAATGCCATTATAATATTTATTACAATAATTTTACATATATTACATTTTTACACTGCCTTAAATATGTTTCAAAATAGTAACTTGACTGTAATTGAAGTACTTTAAATAAAGGAGACAAGCTATGTGTCCCATGCTACATGTTACATGCAACAATGTGACACTGAATTTTTTTTATTTTTCCTCTAATCAGTGAACCTATTGAAGGACATAAACAGCTTTTAAATTAATTATTTGGTAACGTAATGCTTCATACACAAATGTCTTGAAAATCAATACAAGCTCACTAAATTAGCAACTGGTGATGGAGCGGCCTCCAAACATGATCAATGAAAAAGGACAAGAATGAGCAGCAAACAAATGGCCCATCACATACAGATGATCGTCCATCGCCTTACTGCACCTAGAGGCTTGTTAAAACCGCACTACAGCAGCTGTTGAAGCATCAGTAACTTGATTGGAAGGATTATGCAGCCTTAGGGTTGATGAAAATAACAGTTTTCTCAGAGGGCGATATCAGACCGGCGAAAATCCATTCGCTTCCAAAAGTGGCCTCAATCCCAATATCAATTAAAATCTTGTCGGGACATGCAGAGCCGTGTTTGGGAAAAGTAGTGTGAAACAACAAGCCCAATCACAAATATGGCGAAAAAGCAATCTCACCCTCCGCCTGTGGTAAACTTCTGCGCTGTTTAACACAATCATTGCAAAAACAAATCCCCACTCCCTTTTAAGTGTTTTTGTTGGGAGATTAAAAAAAACTGCTCTATCGTTGCATGGCAAGGACAGACTGGCTATTCAGAGGTCTGAGCTTTTGTTTCCATAGTTTTCTATTTGGATCTTCGTGTTATCCACTGCTGGTTTGTTCTTAAATCCAAGTGTAGGGTAAGATATTGTAATGAATCTGAATGGTGATAACTATTGGCAGCTTCCAAAGGTGCAGTAATGCATAGCCTATTGACAGGACATGGGAATAATAACGTATTTGCATTAAAGGTATTATTTGTCGTTGTGCCTAGCTCTGAGCAAACATCCACAGGGCTGCAGTCTAACTGCTACTGGCCATATTAATACTACTATTCATCCCGTCTCTAACTCGAGCCAAGAAACAGCATTAGGCCCGGGGCCCTGCGGCCTGCATTTGGACTGGCCTCGCTGGCATGTGTATGTGTGTGAGAGAGAGAAAAATAGTGCACCTTTTCTCCTCCAATGAGTTCTGGATGAAGCAAAAAAGTTCTTTATATCAATTAGCCAGACAAGTGTGCAATAGACACCCGTCACCCCACGAGCCCTCCTCCCCGGCCTGCTCTGATCAAGGACCGTCTGCCATCCTGTTACACATCCGTTCTAAAAAAAACACCTAGGCTGATCTCAGATCGGTACACCTTTCCTCTTGGGTGAAAATACTGGTGGCCCGTAGCTGAGCCAGTGGGACTGCCCAAGCTCTGCCTGAGAGGCCAAGCAACGGCTGCACGGCAGACACAAAATCTGGGGCACAGACCATCTGGCTGACAGTGCAGTCTGAAGTGAAGAGGCTGTCGGAAGTTTGTTGCCAACATGGCTCACAGAAGCAGGACATTAGATACCATAAACACACACACACTCGGCTATACAAAGAAAGTTTTCTTGTTGAGACAAGATTCAAAAACGAAGGATTTAATGCTCTGAATTCTACAGCTGAGGGCAATATTCTCCTCTAGTTTTTTTTTCTTCTTTTAGAAAAAAGATTCCTCTCTAATGATCTTACATGCAAGCAGCGATGCTAAAAAAGGTAAGTTAATCACCACCCCACCTCATGCCCCCAAAAAGGAAAAAAATTCAACCTTCACGCTCAACAAGGCAGCGATAATTCAATATTTTCTCCATGATAGTTCTTCGAGTTCATACCCAGCCATGCTAATTAAAAAAAAATCTGAATTCCTCACATTTGAAACAACAATTAAACAGTCTCTCCTTGTACTATTGCACAGAGAAGTCATAAGTTAGCCTGGAAAATAACACCAGCCAGACTGCAACAGACCATAACATAACATCACAGCTACAACTCCAACTCAACTTTGCTCTATCAAAGGACAAATTCAGCTAAAAACATTCACCATCTCACACTATTAACAAATACGCAGCAGACTTGCAAATGTAAAGTGGCTCGGCATGAGAGAGCAAAAGCAAACAGCTCTTACCTTGGGTTGAGCGCGTCTTGGAAAGGCAACTTTAGGATCAATCTAAATGAGACAAGGAAGGAGAGAAAGAAATATGAGAAAACTGAGCTTGTGATACTGTTATGTGAAGAGGAAAATTTGAAAATATTAGAAAAAGCCGGCAATGTGCTGCGACTACTCTATAACCTTCATGGAAATTATAGCATTAATCATGATGCAATGCTCCATGTCTCATGTGTAATCTTGCCTAGTTATTACACGCTGGTTGCATGAGGCCTGTGTATGACAAAATCGAATAAAACCGTACACAGGTTAGAGCATAATTACTTGATTACAACATAAATAAACAGGTGGCATTATATAACACACTGGAGATAATTCAAAGACTCGCTGAAGAAGTGCTTGCGGCCTCGGGGAGGTCAGGTCGACATGGCAGGAGGTGTTCTAGTGAGCGCTGTAGATTTGCGGAGAATCAAGACAGGGCATTAGATAAATACATACAACCTCCTTCCCCCTGAGGGATTATCATTATTATGGGTGACTCTCTCCTCCGCTGTACCACACTGCACGAAGGGTTACTGCTCTGCCTATAATGCATTTTGGTATGCAATAGGGCATCATTAGGTTTATTGGTTAGATGAGCTATGTTATAAATAAGTGAATAAGTAAATAAGTGAGTTCCTTGAGGACCTGCTGTTGTGCAAGATGTTTGCTTTGGTCATTTAAACATTCATAGACTAAAACAACAGTCCTGCTTTTTAGCACACAGGCCAAAAGCTTGGGCAGCCAGAGCACTAGAAGGATAGGATGGTAGATAATCATGCATGTGAGAACAAAAACAGTTCAAAGACTTGCCTCTGCACTCTCATTAAATGGAAAAATAACTCAAGGGAAAAAGATCCATTAGTGTTATATTGCTCTTGAATATACCACATGTCTGAATGCTTTGTCACTTCTTATAAATGGTAAGAAAAAGAAAAGCAGAATTGTGAGATGTGGCAGCATGCAAAAGGAAAAAAATTTAATAAACATGTTTTGGTGGAATACGAAGGAGGGGGTCTCCTGGTAAATTAATTTGACCTAAACATAATTGCAATATGTACAGCAAAAATAAATAAATAAATAAATAACATAAATAAAACCTTTCTAATGGGAAATTGTGCTGTTGTGTTATATTTTAATTCATCCAGAAAAGTGTTTAATCTAAAACAAATTGCTTTTAGAGAAACCGGCAGCAGTCTTTCAGTTGTCAATACACAATGCAATTCTCACCCCAGGCTTTCAGATTTGCAGATTACACAGCTTTTAATCAAATGTGAAACAAGTGTGTCAAGAATATCTCTGTACAAGTTTTCTTTGGTCCATTTGCACTCTTCAAAAGTGACAAAACAATTGGACAGGAAATTGCAAAAAAGTGGAAAATAGAAAATGCAATAAAAACGTAGGTGTCTGGATTGAAGCATAACACTGCAGGTACTTCTAAACTTCTAAATGAAGCAGGTACTTCATTTATTTCTAAATTAGCCAACTATACATATATATACATACACACACACACACACAATATATATATATATATATAAGTATGCAAACATCTATATGGTTATTACATTTTTGGGATATTACATGAATATTATTGCTAATAATATACTGTATATATATATATATATATATATATATATATATGGAATAAGCCTAGGAAATAAAGGCCAGAGGAAACAGGTGGTGTCAAGGTAAAGATCAAGCCTTGATCATTTTAAAACAGTAATTTTAATAATAGTTCTTCTATTAAGCAAGAGCTTTCAACTGCATGTGCAATTTAAATTTGTTCTTAAATCAGTTGGAGCTGAAACCCCAGAGTCATGACACAGCCACCCCAACCCTGTCGATGACATCACTACCCAGAGCTCAGTAATCCCTGCTTTAGCACCAACCGCGACTAGTGTCCACATGAACTCAATCCTGGATACATCACTGCTAACGCTAGCTTTCTTTTCTTTTTTCCCCCTCAGCCATTCAAGAGCATTTCAACGTCAAACCTTGACCCACTTGTAACTAAGTATACTAAGAATTACACGTGTGCCATGATTGTCTAATCTAAACGACCCTACTTTTGATGTCCAAATTACACGTTTTTCCACTAGTGCAACACTGACATATACAATGTAATATTATTTTATTAATCAGATAGAAATGTTCTCCCTCCTAAAGGCATTTTGGCTTACATCAGTCAATGCCAAACTGGCAGAGAGACATAATGAATAGCACACCTGTATTTCTAAAAGATTTAGGGCACAGAACCAAGAGAGGTGGCGAATATTCACCGGCTGTGCTAAATTATGATTCAAAATTTATATTTGCCCAATTGCTGGATTTAAGTAAACAATCATCAGTAATCTACCTGCAGCTTTAGGTGGGTAATAAACAATTTAACAGGTTAATCTGCTGTTGACCAAATTAGCCACCTGGTCTTATCTAATCAGTGCAACTTGTCAGTGAACCTTAGTTTGGTGTTTTACATCTTTACGCACACAAATTATTCTTAAACCTACGATAATAATGTTAAATAAAATAAGTTTTCAATATTAAAGGGGTCTTATTATGCTTTTTCACTTTTTCAACTTTAGTTAGTCTGTAATGTTGCTGTTTGAGCATAAAAAATATCTGCAAAGTTACAAAGCTCAAAGTCCAATTCAAAAGGAGATATTTTATTTAACAGAAATCACTTTTCAAAAACGACAACGAACGACTCGTTTGGACTACAACGCATACGCATTTGTGATATCACAAATACCAACGAATGGGACGAGACCTGGTTGAGCTGCACTAGAGAAGGCAACGAGTGTTATCACTATGTCAGAGACACGCTAGCTTTCCCAAGGCAGACGAACTTAGAGTGGTTACAATCATCAGGGTTTAAAATCGCGCTCAAAATTATTTGATATTGACAATATTTACACTGAAGCTCGCAGGCGGCTATGGTAAGGGGCATGGCATTTCCCGACCAGGCGCCGAGTGCTGCCAATCACAACACACACTGGCCCAGCTGACCAATCACAGCACATTTCGTATTTCAGAAGGCGGGTCTTCATTTGATACAGGAACTATTCGAGCCGTTCATGCCAGACTGGGGAGAGAGGTGTTGTAATAATGTAAAATATGTGAAAAGAAATGTGTTTTTCGAAAAACCTAGTATGAGAGCCTGTTCTAGTACACCCCCAAAACTAAATCAAGACTTTGTAAAAGAGCATAATAGGACCCCTTTAAAATACATCTTCCCTTATTTGTATATATTTTTAGAAATTATTCCAATTTATCTTGAAATTTCAATTTTTATTAGAAAGGGTCTATGTTTAACAAAACATATTTACAACAGTGTTACTAGCAAACTGCCTACTCACCTAGTAACAGAAAAATAATTCTAATCCCATTTTATCACAGAATTACACATTACACATTTTTTTAAGGAAAGCACTGGGAATGCCAATACACAGTGTTCTGGGAGAAGAGTATTAGCCACAAAATTCCTGAGGGAAGCTATGAACCTCTGTGAACGCCTTTAAATACAGTCCGTCTCTTGATATGAACTTGCAGCAACATGGCATCCATTAAAATAAGTCAGTGAACGCGGTATTTGTCCACACCCTAGCTGTCCCAAATAAAAGGCTCTTTCACTCTGGACTCCTACAGGTAACTAGCAGCTGCATCTACAAACAGGAAAGATGGTGACTTTATACATAAAAAAAAAAAAAGAAAATAGAATCCATATTAACTTTACTGATACAACGTCTGCTTATCCTGGGGTTCACTGTCCCATGGAAAAATAAATGTATTTCAGCTTGGATTTAGATTAGGTTGAAAAAGGCAAACCTATTTCTTGCTGACAGAAATGTATGTATGACTCAGTTTGCATAGTTACATAAACAGTAATATAAACAACAATATAAATACACAATATTTTCCAGATTTTACTCCTATTCCCAAATAGAAATGCTTTAGAAGAATCCATACTATATAAAATGTTATAATATAAATACTATAAATAAAATGTTATACAAATAAAATGTAATATAAATAAAAATGTTATAATATAAGTACTGTAATATAAATATCTATAAAATAATCCTAACCTCTACAGGTAAAGACACACTTCAAAATGTTTTTAAAAATTAGAATCTTTATTTAAAAATATTTTTAAAAAATCTTATCACATACTCTTAACTTTAAGTTTACTTCAAGTTTTCATATTACAAGCACCTTTTAATGTCGAAACAACGGCAAACTCCAGGCATGAATAAAACAACTGAAAAATAAATAAGAAAAAATAAAAATAAATAATTAATGACACATTAGGAAAAGTGTACACCAGTACACACACTAACCTGCACCACAAATGACAAAGTATCAACATAAGTGTAAATATACTATGAAAATACAAAAAGAAACAAATGTGATCAAATTAGTTTACCATGTAAATCATGCACGTAAAACATTTCTAGTCATCAAGGTTTACAGTGAACTTGTGCATGCATCCAAAATGCATCCTTGCCCTGAGCAACATCCGGAGTTCTGTCTGGAAAATTCAGACATGAACAAGAGAGCAAAACACCACGTCATACATTGCAAGACTTACGTCACCAGATGCGCTGAACACAGCTGGAGTCACGATCGAATAACACCGCAGGTAATTAGTCCCTTCTTGCCCCATACCTGGATGAGATTTAACCCTTTGTTCCCCAGTTCGGCGAGCAAGGGGTTAATCCTGTTGAGGCATGTGAGGAAGACAGGACTAATTATCCGGCTACTTATTTATGTCAAGTGCCCCGCTGTTGTGTGTGTGGTACAATGACGAATGCCGCGGAGTGCCTCGACCCAGGAAGGGATATGATAGCGAGACTGTGTGTCTTTTCACCACTGAATGGTCACAGATACAAGCATGTTTAAACAGCACTTCACAAAACATAAACGCAAATAGAAGGGAACGTACCGTCTTTGAATCTAATTCGTGGTGAGGTTGAGCTAGGACCTTATCTACACTGGCCGCATCCGCAAACGTAACGAAGCCAAATCCCCTGGAAAACAAAACAAACAAAAACACAGACATACATTAGGAGCTGACAGCGATGCGTTACACGTGTTTGACTGGTAAGCTTGTTAACATATCCATTCTATTCTATTATTAAACGCTACATGACCTTCAATATCTATAACACTTACAATAACGTTATCTTAGAAATACAGTGTGTCAAGGACAAAAGAGTACGGCAGGTTGCACAAAAATGAAAATTCTGTCATCATTTATTCACCCTCATGTCGTTCCAAACCTGTATGACTTTCATTCGTCTGAGGAACATAAAAGAATGCGTAGAATGACAGCTTCAGTCACCATTCACTTTCATTGAATATGGGAAAAAAGATGCAAATAAAAGTGAATGGTGACTGAAACTGTCAGTCCCTAACAACTCCTTTTGTGTTTCACAGAATAAACAATGACAGAATTTCCATTTCCTTGTGAAATATCCCTTTAATATATCCACACTATTATTATTTAGCAATAACTTTGTTGAGGAAACATATCAGATAAACATTTGCATAACATGTTACCTTAGAAATACAGTTTGTCAAGGACACATAAGGACTTTTCACGCCACACTTAATCCTGGGTTAAATGTCTTTTAAAACCCTAGGTAAAAGCCGGTTACAACCTTAGGTTAAGAAACGTTTAAACTTGTAATTTGAAAGGTTTTCAGCAGCGCATTTAACCGTCCGTTATGAAAATCTGCTACCGTATACCTGAGTCGTTTCGCAACAGACAACCAATCATAAACGGCTTCGGCGCTTCGCTCATTAAATATTCATACGCATTGTACAGTCGCAGAAACTTTCACGCGCTGCTTAATTTAAATGATTGAGGGAAACAATGTATTTTTGCGGTACGTTTCAGAGGATGTAAGGCAACTAGAGAGGATCTGCGTAGCGACATTTCTACTGATATTAAAACAGGTCGCGTGCTATAAGCGTCCAATCACCGTTTTAATCCTCATGAATATGCAAATTAAGCTACTAACGTACAGTATAAAATCTGACAGCGCAGGATTAATTACTAACCCATGGTAAAGTATGAACAGTGTAAAACACGGAAAATAACCCAGGGTTAAGAACGACAATTTCAAGTGAGAAAAACCCACTAACATGCCAATGTCAAAGCCAAAACACATGCAACCGCATTAAAGCGTTCGGTTTATTAAAGACATTTGGTTTAACATGAGGAATCCAAAATCAGTTTCAAACTGTATCCTGTCCACAAACACACCGATCCAGTCGCCTCAACAGCGCATAGGATCCGAATAACAGCGCAAGGGCAAAATCGACCATTTATCACTTAGATTAAAAACCTCAACGTGTCAAGAGATTGTCTTTTTTTTTTACCTGGAGCGTTTTGTCGTGGGATCTCTCATCACCATACATTCTCGGATTTCTCCAAATTTACTAAAATAGTCTCTAAGGCTGTCTGTGAAACAAAACAGAAAGAAAAGAGCACACATGAGCAAAGCATTCGTGCGTTACACACCAGTTTGTAAATTAAACGCCCCCCAGGATGTCTAACAGGGGTCGAATAGAGGACTTCAAATGACGGCACATATCCCGCACAGCGCGCCAGGCTGGATACAATGAAAGAAACACAACACAGCCCGATAAACGCGTGCAAATGACAGCGAACCATCGGTCTCTTACCTGGTGAAGTTTGCCAGCTGAGGCCACCGATAAACATTTTACTGTAAGGGGAAAACACAGCAGAAGTGAGTCCAGATGTCAGATCGGCCATTTTGACGTGTAGCTAGCGACAAAAAAGCAGCGCTAAACGAAGGCAAAGCAGAGCGGTGTGTGTTTACTGAGCCCCGGCGGGCTGTGCTCACTAATATACATCAAACAAAAGTGTAGTAGTTGCGTGCACCCGGAAGAG